TGTGCTTGTAAAGATGCTGTGCATAAACAAGTTGTCTTACAGTGTCTGCTTCCTGACTTCAGATGAAATCTGTTGGACCCTACTGATTTGTAAAGTACTACTGTGGAAATTACTTGTTCTAATTATGAGCCAAGTTGTTTAGAGTAAACATAGTTTCCACGTAGAAATCCTGCTTTGATTTTTGAAGAAGTTGCTTTTTTCCCCCTATACAATGACATTTATCATTCAAATTAGTGAAGAAAAACAGCAACAGTAACACGCTATTTAAATGCCTGATCCTGTAAATGCCTAATGTCATTGCTAACAATTCTGTTTAACTCCTGTTAAAATACCCGTGTGCTTGCAGGGTTAGAGTCCTGAGTATTTCTACCCCTTAGAATTTATGTGCTGAAGGCTGCAACAGAAGTCTACAAAACTACTCAATTACTGATGAAATTTTGCTTTCAAGACAGTGGTGTGAAAAACAGCTGAGATGAATTTTCCTTTAAATTAGAGAATCATTATTTGTAGAATCTGTTGTAGATCTGCTAGTAAAGAGCGTGCCTGTGGCAGATTGGGATACAGGCAGTAAACGTACGACAATCTAAAATGAAAAGGAGGACTAGAAAGCGCAGTCTTGAAGAGAGGTTGCTTCTTTCACAAATTATTCTATTGTACTGTATTTCCTTTGGTATTACTGTGGTTGGTGGGTGCCTCATGAAGTGGCAGGTAAATGTTGAATGGAGAAAGTCAATGCTTTTTTTTTTTTCCTCTTCTTTTGAAGCAGCCATGTGCACTAATCCTTAATGTGAACTTCATGCAGTTTTCACCATGGACTTTTATTTTAAAATATTTAACTTTAAAATTTGTGTTTAACAGTGTTTAAAACATGGAAATCTTCCTTCACCTCTTTAAAAGTAAATTTGCTTGAATGAGTCTTCGATATCAAATAGTCAGGGTAAAAAAAAAAAAAAAATTCAGTGCTTTTTTTATCAAGAGCTTCACTCATTCACACAAATGTGGTGCTTTGATGGCCAGTACTGGGCATACTGTCACTATCTACAAGTAGCAATTTACTGTGGTTTCTCTGAAATTGTTTTCCTATATGGAAGTGAATACTATGTATCCAAAGTGCCTTAATTTCGATACTATGCTGATTTTGTGAATGCATATATGTGGCAATACCGCTATGTTTCATAATCAGCTGAAAATCTGGTACTGCATTTTATAAAGCTTCCTTGTCAACTTAATCATGTGTTCTGTAATTTGGAATGCAGTGCAGCTTTTGTAACTTTTGTAAATGCTATTTTTATTTTTTCTGTGATTGCCAGGTTCTTGAGCTGATGAAGTATTAAAACATGGAAATTAAAACATATTCTGCTTTTCTTTTCAAATTGTCTAATAAAACTGACTTTTTGAATTGTCTAATAAACATATCTGATGCTGAAGTATTTGTCTGTCGTAAATTTCAAGAGGTGACAATGGACCTCGTGTGAGAGGAAAGATAAGAAAACATATCAGTGGTGCTTTCATAATGGTATAAATGGGGTAATGAACAAACTTCAGAAGCCATGATCTAGTTCCAATAGATGGAATTATTATGGCATGCGTTAGAAGGTATTGTAGCGGCTGTATTCAAATATGCAGGTAAATTATCATCACTTATCTCTTCTGTACGTGGTGAAACTGTGAGCTCTTTAAAAACATTCAAAGAAAGATGGTATGTAAGGTAGCACTTGACCTCTTCTACTTCCCTTGCTTCAAAAGAGTCCAGAGGAAGGCACATCTGCTCTGTCAGCACTGACGGGCAGGGATGCAGAGGGCTTCAGAGCTCGCTCTTTTCTAGGTCGGTACTCCTGTAGTTAAGTTGGTGAATGTATTGAAGTGGGCGATTTTGATCCCACCAGTGCTTGTGCAAATGAAGCCTGCTCAGTTATTTTAATCAGTTTGTACAAGCACCCACCATCAGGAGAAGGCGGGTTTAGCGTCTGTGTTCTGTGTAGCTGATGCTTTCTGTTTGCAGCAATGATTTGAGCAGCTAAGCTTTGGAGAAGGTGAGTATATTTGCACTTTGAATCTGTTATCTGCTGGCTTTGCCCGGTTTTGCAAACTGAATGTTTGGGATTGCTGCTCTGTACTGCCTAGCCCAGCTTATGCTTTGCATCTAGAGTAACCTCAGGCTCTAGGCTTGGTTCCTGAGCTCCCTTAATTAACCTGGTTCTGGATTTGCTAGTATTATCTGTATGGTAGAACTTCTTATTTCCTATCCCTCAACCCTTGTTCTCGTAACTGCCCGTTTTTATAGTTAACAGAGCTGTTCCCTGTCAACATACACTTAGCTGGAGGAAAAAAATAAAATACACGTAAGGGGTCAGGAGCAGGGTGTACTGGTCACAGTCTTGTACTGGTTTTGTAGTCTCTTCAGTCCTTTAAGAAAGCTGGTAACCTTCCTAACTAGTTATGACCTTGAGTAACTTCCTAAAAACTTTAAACAGGCTTTAATCCCATAAAATGAATGTAAGCTCATTAATACCTGGGAGTTAACCAAACAAACTTGTCCTGGTAAGGGACATGTAGATTTTTATTCTTAAACTGAAAATTATGTAAAGCTCTAAAATGATCTCTGTAACCCTAATCTCAATTCTTAGGGGATAGGAGGAAGATTGTTTTCAAAGGGAGACTAAACCTATGGCTCTGTTTAGTAAAGTAATTTATGTATAATGAACATAATTGTGCAAAATTATGCCTAATATAGTCTCGCTTTATAGAGTCTTTGCATATAGGGAAGACTTCTTCCTGTGAAACACGGCTATAACATTGCTGTCTATTAAAATGAAGAATCTGGAATACGTAGTTACAGCGGTCCTCCGAGGTGTCATGACCTGAAACCCTGGTATTTTCTTTGTTAGCCCTTTGCCTGCCGACAGCCGAACTGGCATTCAGTGGTGGAAGTTGCCTGTGTTCTATTGTATTTTTAATTGCATGTTTTCCTGGGGAATGCTGATAAAATTAACTGCTCGCTTTTGTGGAGTTTAAAAAAACGAACCACACACACCAAAACCCAAAAATCGTATTCAAGCTTAAGTTGTATATAGTTCATTCGAAACCCTTAAACGGAGACTAGAGTTCTGAGGCTCAAACAGAGCTCGAGGCACAAAGGGATGTTGATGTCTCCTGGTAGGCCCAGGAGGTCAGCCGAGGCTAGCAATGTCTGTGAATTTTGGTTTTATCGCCTGCTTTGAGCTTCACTTTCCAGTATACTGGCTAAGGTGCTTTCATTTTGTTGGTCAATACGAATAAATGACAGATGCTGCTTGGATGTTTTTGTTTGCTGGAGGATTTGAGGAGAAGTTAAATGGTATTTATCGTGCTTTACACAGCATATGCTTGGAATAAGAGGATTGATCGTGACATTTATGCTTTGCTTACCCTTTGTTGTGACTGATCTGGGCTTGTGATTTTGTTATTCGTTTAATTCCTGCCTAAGACTAGTATTTCACAATATAATAGGAGCCTTTGTTACCAGTCTTCCATCTTTTTTAAAAAAAAAAAAAAAAAGCCTTTACACAGCATAGAAACAAAAGCCACAATAGTTGTAAGTTCCTGGCTACTGATCAAGTTCTCCCTTTTTGAAGCTGGTGGGAATTTGCTGTTGGGGTCGATGGTGTGGGGAAGGAGGGATGAAAGAGGCCCAGCGCCGTTAGATGCTGAAGCCCTTCGTGTCTGAGGGCAATCTGTGAGCATCCTTCTGAGTCACTTCTGGGCAACAGACTGCCCATCTTGTCTGAGTCTCTGTTTCTTCTGGCTGTGCTACACAGGATATGGGGGTGATGTCAGCTACGAAAATCCATATGCTTGTATTTCAACAGAGGGCACTTTACTCCGGGAGAGGATTTAACAGCTTGTCCTTGTTTCTGGTAACATGGCTCAGTGTCACCCTGCAAGGCCCATCTTTCTTTGGTATTCTGTTTTTTTCTGACTTAAATGCTGATGATTGCAATGAGACGCTAGGATGTTTTCAACAACTCTGTGCTGATAAAACAATTTCCCATGTAAT